TATCCTAATGATTTTTGGCATAAAAGAAAAATCGATTATTTTGACCCATACAATGTATTTTTGGCTATTGCTACAAATATACCCCCAACGACTTAAGACTGGTTTTGTGGTCCAGGGTCACATATATGAAAAGTGTATTATATATAAAATACACAGATACATACATATATATTTTTAAAATTGCATGCAGCACAGACTTGGCTTTATTGTATCCTGTCCTTTAGGTTAATAAAAAATACTCTGTGTACATCCATGTGAGCATGTGGTGCCTCCTTTGTCAAATACGGCCACAACAACACAGCATTTGAATGGAGTCTGTCCTCTCTGTGACTAACATTGATTCTGCAAAAATACATGATCTCAAGACAAACAGACATGTGTCATTTACAGAGTAACCAATGCACTCATACCGTCTAGACTAGGGATGTGCAAAATTACATATTTTTGCAATCAGCTAGTCAAGCCCTGTTTAATTAGGCCAGTTTAGTCATGTCCATCACATGCATTTTTTAGAAGGCATTCACATATGATGCAGGCGTCTCGACTGACTTGTTGTTTTTAACTTAATGAGATCATGGTTGTGATGAAGTCATAACCATGAAAATCTCTGAACAAGTTCTTACAGTTTTTATTAAGTGGTCTGAGAGAACAGAGCAGAAAGTTTAGATTAGTTACAGACATTTGATCATGTATCAACCTTGTTTTATTTTGAAAAGAACTGTTTGGTTTTCCAAGATATGAGTGCTTTAACTGTCTGGGATTTATAAAGAGTACATGTCTAGCTTAAAGGGTTAGTTCACCCAAAAATGAAAATTAGGTTGCGTTTTACTCACCCCCGATGCATCCTAGGTGTATATGACTTTCTTCTTTCAGACGAATCCAGTCGGAGTTATATTAAAAATTGTCTTTGATCTTTCAAGCTCTATCGTTGCACTCAGCGGGTGTTGCATTGCTTCTGTCCAAAAGACGTGAAATAAAAAGCACCCTTCCATAAAAAAAAGTGTCTCACACGGCTCCGGGGAGTGAACAAAGGCCTCCTGTAGCGAATCCATGCGTTTTTGTAAGAAAAATATCCATATTCAAAACGTAATAATCACTTGAATCTAGCTTGCGCCAGCAGTTGTACACGGAAGCAGCTCCGGGAGCATGACGTATGAGGTCAGCGCTGCGCATGCGCCGCTCAGAAGTGACGCACGCAGAGAGATCGAAACAAAACAACGGTCACTAATTAGAAGTACAAAACGAGGATTTGTAAAGAAGAATGTCGGAGGATTTCGATATAAGCCAAGAGGAGACTTGTTTTCCTTTGCTAAAGTAAGGAAACTTTGCTTCCCTTGATCTTACAAACCAACGTTGGTTTTCACGAGACTCACCGGCGCATGCGCAACGCTGACCTCATACGTCATGCTCCCGGAGCTGCTTCCATGTACAACTGCTGGCGCAAGCTAGATTCAAGTGATTATTACGTTTTGAATATGGATATTTTTCTTACAAAAACGCATCGATTCGTTACAGGAGGCCTTTGTTCACCCCCCGGAGCCGTGTGAGACACTTTTTTTTTTTATGGAAGGGTGCTTTTTATTTCACGTCTTTTGGACAGAAGCAATGCAACACCCGCTGAGTGCAACGATAGAGCTTGAAAGATCAAAGACAATTTTTAATATAACTCCGACTGGATTCGTCTGAAAGAAGAAAGTCATATACACCTAGGATGCATCGGGGGTGAGTAAAACGCAGCCTAATTTTCATTTTTGGGTGAAATAACCCTTTAAACGTTTGTTTGTGTTTGTAGAGAGTGTTGTCCAGGTCCTTGCTGTTCTGACCCGCGTCCTCTCAGTCCTTCCAGAGACGGCAGATGCAGCGGAGGAGTGAAACTACGCATCAGAAACAGGTGTGCATGTGTGAAGAGCTCAACCCGCTGGTGATCTTTGTGTTGTTTAAGTATTATTGAGATACTATTATAGTTTTATTAATAGTTTGAATAAATTTTTTAATTTAATTTTAGTTAGTTTTATTTATAAGTTTTTTTGTTTTTTATTCATTTTTATTTCAGTTTTAGTTATTTTAGTATACATTTTATTTCAGCTAAAGTTTATTTTTTATTTTATTTAAGTCACACAAATGTTTTTATGGTTTTAGTTTTAGTTAACTAGAATATCCCTGATCTGCGCACATGAGGTTATTCATCAGAGGCGTTTCTAAGGAAACAGAATCTGGCTTTTATTTTTGAAACAGGAAATGAATCTGTCTCTTACAGGAAGAGGAAGTGATGAGGAAGTGGATTTGGGTTTATGGTTCCCAGTCGGTCACGTCAGGGGTGACTGTTGGTGCATCCCGTCTCTGTTTACTCTAAATCCACTAGTATTGAGTTGTTTATGGGGTTTTTAAGGAGATTTTTGGAGAACTGCAAGATTATGCTGTTGTCTCGCATGACAAAATGAACTTTTTCTTTTTTTCTAGTTTCTGTCTGTTTCTCTTCCTCTCTTTCTGTGTGTAAATAAAACTGGAGTTCTGTGTACAGAAGCTGTAAATAGTGTAACGGCCCGATCCTTAATCTCACTTTTATCCGAATAAGGCTTTAATGGAAAGGTCGAGCAGTTCAATTTGGACGTGATGGCAGGCTAAAAGACGGACTTACATTAAAACAGGACCCAGTTGGCATCAGGCAGTTTATGTCTAATTTTCATATAAGCATCATTCACATTTTTTTAAATACACTTTCATTCAAAAGTTTAGGGTCTGGAAGATTTTTTTTTAAAGAAATGAATACTTTTATAGCACAAGGATGCATTAAATTGATCAAAAGTGACTGTAAAGACATTTATAATGTTAAAGAAGATTTCTATTTCACGTAAATGCTGTTCTTTCAAACTTTCTATACATCAAAGAATCTTGAAAATAATGTTTCCACAGAAAATATTAAGCAACTGTTTTTGACATTGATAATAATAAGAAATATTTCTTTAGCAGCAAATCATCACATTAGAATGATTTCTGAAGGATTATGTGACACTAGACTGGAGTAATGATGCTGAAAATTCAGCTTTGCATTACAGGTATAAATTACATTTTACAATCCATTCAAATAGAAAATAGCTATTTTGAATTGTAATACTATTTCACAATATTACTGATTTTACTGTATTTTTGATCAAATAAATGCAGTCTTGGTGAGCAGAAGAGACTTCTTTCAAAAACAAACGACCCCCCTTAACTTTTGAACAGTAGTGTGTATATGTGAACATTTAATCATAATATACAGTTTTACATACAATATACTGTCATTTCAAATACATAAATGAGAAAGGAAATTTATTTTGCATTGGTCCGACAGATGGCGCGGTGAGACAAACTGACAGATAGCATGCACAGTATTCCCGCCCTTCTCATCTAAACACAGATACTGAACGTGACTTGATTTTGTCCACGTTTCGTTTCCATCCTCAAACCCGCCAGATTTGTGAGATTCCCTACTTTGAGGGTTTGTTTTGGGTGCTCCACTCACGTCTGTGCTCCGAATATGTGGTCATGGATGTCGTAATGCTACACAAGACCTGAAATAAAAAATTCTACATTTACATGGTCAGTTCCTGCAGCTATTGGAGTTTTGATTAGAGTTTCATAGAAACTGAGTGATTTGACAATTTTGAGATGTTTGGTGTGTAAAAAAACTATGAATAGAGACTGAACCAAGACAACGGTGTTATAGGCCCACCCAACACTTTAGAGCAGTTATTTCCATGTGTGTACGTGTTATTGTACACATACATTTAGCTATTCATGGGGATGAAGATTCAAAACTCTGGCATCTTAAATTCTCTCCCAGCTTTCTCTTTCACTTGCTTGGAAGAATCTTCTTTTAAGACGTTAATAACATCTAGTTCACTCGCAGTTCATCTGTCATGTGTGTTTTGCTCCGTGTTCCTTGATTGTGAACATTCCAATGTTATTTGCACACTCAGAGGTAGGATTTCCCATAATCCCACAGTGACATGCATTAATAACATAACCCGTCTCCCCCTGGATAGCCTCAGTCCGATGAACCATGTCAGCTTAAAGAACTCTGCTGAAGACAGTTGCTTCACCTAGATTGCAATGGTCATGAGATCCCATCCAGATGTAAGGTTGCATCCCAATTTTGCTTTAATCATAAGAAGTTGAAAACAGTGGTGCCCAGGGGGTTTATATAATATTTGCGTAATTATTTGCTTGTCTTGTTTTCCAAATAAATATATGTATATCTCAGTGGTGTGCGGAGGTGATCTGAAATGAGGAGGCAAAGTCCTCAAAGTTTGTTTTCTTTCTTTCTTTCAATCAAATGCAAATTCATACGCGGAATTTGTGCTCTGCATTTAACCCATTCACGTGCACTTATTTTGCCATTGAATTAAGTTTTTTTGTTTGTTTTGTTTATTTATTTATTAAAGCATGAAGCTCACTAAATTTTGTTTGATTTCTCTGAAAATAAAACTTATTGTCTTATGTAATTTTCTTTGTTTTAAGGATGTTTAGATATTTTTTACTTGTTTTGAACTTTCTAATCATCATAGAATTTGGAAAAAAATTATGCAGCACAACAGTCAGCATATTTGAATGATTTCTGAAGGATCATGTGACACTAAAAATTCAGCTTAATTTTAAAATATATTAACATAGAAAATGTAATAGTAAATTGTAATATTTCACAATATTACTGTATTTTTGATCAAATAAATGCAGTCTTTGTGAGCATAGGAAACTTCTTTAGAAAAAAAAGAAGTTGTGCAGTGTATATACCTATTACATAAAGAAATGACATACTTTCCCATCACCACTGAGGTTCGTTAAGTGCATAGAATTATGCAAATTGGGATGTAACCTGCGACTTCCTCCTATACCTATATCACAACTATATCTATCTATTTCCAACTGACATCTCTTCAGACAGACAGTATTTAGCGAGCCTCTCCATTCTCCTCTCGAACCCCACCGTTCCCGCCTAATCCAATTCTCCAATTTCAGCTTCCTCTCAGATCAAACAGATTAGTGTAGTTGACGAGCCATGTTCCCAGGGATCAGATAAGGTTTCTGCAGCGGGACACACCCTCTGCAGTCTGGCCCAGCCGGGGAGCGACGAGAAGGCCCGAGACAGACGGTTTTGGGGTTTTTTTGTGGGTCAGACCCTTTGGAGTCCCTAAGAGTCAGGTTACCTTGAGAGCGCGACGTGAAGCGTCTCTCCTGGGAACGAGGGGATGCCACGGAAATCGGCAGTTATTATACTCGGGTGTCGTTAGTCTGTGATGTATTTGTGGAAGAAACCTCAGGTCCGTCTGAGGGTAAACTGAGCAATATGTCACCCCGTCGCTCACGTCCAGTGGCCTTATTCTGCAGACAGGTGAAGAAGACACCTGTGCTATTACACCTGCCCATATTCCCTGCAGGCCCGGAGACGGCTGTCAGCGACACATGAAAGCAACCCTGTGACACACCCAAACTACGGCCTTCCTGTTCCCATAATGCCCTCTGGGCACAGATAGGCTTGTTGACTTGTCTGGGATCACATGGATGATCATGATGACGAAGAGGGAGAAAAAGAAAGGAAGAGAGGAAGATGCACACAAAGGCCAGTCTTTGTTTGATGTTATGAACGCATGCTATCATGTGTTCACATTTTCTCCCAGCTGTCTGTGTGTTGCATTATTTTACTATTTATCCCAGTTTTTTATATCCAACTCCTTCTTTACAACTCTAATATTGAATCTCAGGAAAGAAGCTTTTTCCTCCCTATCTTCGTTTTTGAAATATGTTTGTCCAGTGCTGGCGAGGGCAGGATGTTTATTCTAGTTCTTATCGTGACTTTTTAATGACATTTAATTGCGTGTTTTAATGATCTTTACGTCGTCAAACTGCACCCCACCAACCCTTCCAGCCGCCTCGCATTTTATTCTCAGTTTATCAGAAGACGGCTAAAGACGGCATGGAACTGCTCGGGGCATTTTACCGCAAAAAGCTGCGGAGGAAGCAGAAATCAGACCTGGGAAGATCGGACGGGGCTCTTTGCAAGGTGCCGTCGGAGACCAGCGTCAACGGTCTGGCCACGGGTCTGATCTCTAAAGTGCTGAGACTGACTGCAAGGTAACTGCTGAGTGCTTGGTAAGGGAGGATAGCAAGGGAATGATGGGTTGCAGGTCAGGTAATGCTTTAACTAGAATGCTACTGGGTTTGAGGAAGGGTTTGACCTGCTTTATGTTCACTACTTGCTCTATAAACCTTTATAAACCTATAAAGTTAAAGGAAATTAAAATTGTGTCATGATTAATTCACCCCAAACCCATAGGGCTTGCTTTCTTATGTGGAACACAAAAGAAGACATTTTGTAAAATGCGATGTTGCATGGCGCTGAATAGGATTTCATTTTTTATTCTAATTTAATTTGTAATTCTAATTCTAGTAGTCATTTAACAGTCGTTTTAAAAGCAGTGTTTTTTTTGTATTATTTACTGTAGATTTTCAGTTTAATTTTTAGTAATTTTGTTATGTGCTTCAGTCATTTGTAATAGTGTTATTTATTTTATATATTACTATTTAGGTATAATTTACTTTTAGTTCAGTTTTAGTTTTTATTTATTTGCAGTTTATTCATTTTTGTGATTCAACGTAAAATTATTTCAGTTCATTACTAATATTTCTAACAAGTTTTTCCAAAGTGTTTTTATTTGATTTGATTAGTTTACTTAATTTTCTTATATTTAAATGTTATTTCAATTTACAAAAATGTTTTAATAGTTCTACTTTTATTTAACCATAATCACCCTGTCTTAAAGTATTTCATATTACAACAAAGTAATAACTTCTTGTCGATCCAGGGCATGAATCCACAATCTGAATATGATATGATTAATCATCACAGCAAGTATTTTTTTAAAAATGCAACATAATTATCCTCCCTAGATAAAATATCTGCGTTCCTGTGAATCTACTTCTAGATCAGCGTTTCCTGTTTACAAGAAAATTTCCGATCTAACTGCAATTCGAACCATCATAAGGTGGTCAGACGTGTTTTCTGTTCTTTGCTCAGCATTGAGTGCAGATGTTTTATTTGCGGGAGTCATTATGACAGATCTTGTCCAAACCTAGCCTGGTCAGAAGGAGCGGCCCTTTGGAAGAGGGTGTGTTAAAGTAGCAAGAAAGTCACTTCCATAGCAACATGTCATAAAAGCCAGATGTTTTGCAGATGCTGTGTCTGATCTGTCTCCATAGAGCAGGGTCAAAGTTCAAGCGAGTGGGTTGTTAAGGAAACAATCTATGTGGAGGCTAAGACATTTCATTGTCCTGAGAAATGTGATCAGTCTGAATCATGTAGGTGCAGCTTTGTGGAGGACATTGCAGCGCCTCAAACAAAAACAGAATATTGTTTTTTATTTTATAGTGATTTTATAGTACTGTTTCTTATTTTGTTTAATATTTTGGTTTATTGTTGTTGTCGTCGTAATGATATATAATATATATAATCACAAAATGTTTGGCCAAATTTTGCAGCCCTACAAACAAGCATAGCAAACCTGGGGCTTTTAAAACGATCGTTTTTACTATACTACATACTGTCTTTTTTATTTTACAGTGGTATATTACAGTTGTAATATTTCTTATTTTATATTATTATTATTATAGTCATGTTAATATATAAATCACAAAATGTTTGGCCTAATTGTGAGCCCTATAAACAAGCACAGCAAACCTGGAGCTTTAAAAAAAAATGCATTTTAAGCATTAGGATCCTAAAACAAAGAATAACTATATTTTTGTGATATATTTGTAATATTTATTTTGTTTAATATGCTAATTTAATAATAATAAATTATTATATTTAATTAATATTATAATATTTTAAAGTCATATTGATTTTAGTTTTAAAAAAAAAATTTTTTTAAATTGCATTAAACATTTAAAGCATTTCAAATCACAATCACAATTTTTATCAGAAAAAGCGCAATTCGATTTTTCCCCAAATCGTGCAGCCCTACTTCCTAAACACTTTCCCACTGCTTGCACTACAATACTCATGCCCTAGAACTTTAATGCTTCATTCAAACCCAAAGTTATAAAATGGCGCAATTCTAGAAGAGTACTAATAGAGGTATGTGCTACACTTGTCCAGTCAGCTGACTGAACATGATCTTTAGTCTCATACTAGCTTTGTCTTTCTTTTTTTTTTTTTCTTTTTTTTTTTATTGAAGCTTTTTGACATTTACAGGGTTTAAACATAGTTGACACATCCGAGCTAATATAAATTGCCCAGGTGGAGCTTTGTCTTTCTGACTACTGATCTCAAACCATCATTAAAGACCTTAGTAGGTCACTTCAGTCAGCAGACTGGTTGGGCACAAACTGGCATTTGTGTGTGCGTGTGTGCGTGTGTGTGTGTGTGTGTGTGTGTGTGTGTGTGTGTGTGTGTGTGTGAATGTCTGGAGCAGCAGTAGGTACAGACAGTCTGCTGATCGTTATATGAAAAACATTCATTATGTTCCACGCCGTTTGAAACCAAAAATGTTTTTGTTTTAAACAATGCCAACATTCTTGCCATGTTTCGAAAACACACTTCAGCAACCTGTGCCAAAAAAAATGAAATAGAAATCTACTTCCAGCTTCCCAGAATTGTATTTCTCATTCTTAGGAATAAATATTTATAATATATAAATGTTCAATCTGTCAGTGACTACATTAGGAAGTATCTATGTACTGATGTTTACACAGTGAGATGCTGGTTATAAGGCAGTGCCACATTCTTCAGGGATGTTTTGATCCTCGGTGGCCTTGACTACACAAGACAATGCATGCTTTAAGTTTACATTAAACTACTTTGACTTCTCACTAAACTTTTTCTGACTTTGGTTTTGGTATTATATTTTATTTTTTTGTGAAAGCATATTCACTGTATTTGTGTTTAACTCTGTGTTTGAGTTGTATTCTGCAAAAGAAAGGCATCGATTTTTATGTTCCTTTAAATCTCTCTTTCCCAGACGGAGTGAGCCTGGATCTCGACCTCATTCCTGGCATTCTACGAAGCTGGGTGAGGTCCCTCAGGACTCAGACAGCATGATGCAAGTCACCCAGGGTGGTGTGGGAGCCCCCTGGCACCAGAGCTACCACTCCAGGTCAGTGCAACTCGAACACAAACACACCTGCAGTCTAGTGCCTCTGTTTAAGAGCAAACAATATAACACTCTGTCTTTCTTCATCCATTCTTTCTCTATATTTCACAAGGCTAGCATGTGAGATTTGATCGTGACTGAGATACAATCGTGAAGATGAAATTTTGTACAGTTCCCAGCAGTGCAACTGAAGGATCTGCCAAGTCAGCTTAGCAATAATCCACTAACATTGACGACATTTATTCAGAGAGAGAGAATGTTATATGTCCTTAGTTTGGGTTGCAGCACCTGATTTGACTTCATGAGGTATTTCCTGTAAGTTGCAACCTCTTGATACATGAATATGTTATCCAGCATGCCATATACACACACTAAAATATTTTAAATTATTGACGATGTAGTGGCATGTGGGTGCATATTCATAAACCAATGGCTTAAAGGGGTCCTACTGCCCCGCCCCTTGCCAAAGCAGCAAGTTCCGTCTGCTCCGGTTAAGAATGGCATCAATGTTGCCATATCAATTTGAGCCGGATTCAGACCCCAAGAATATTGAACAAGAGGATTGTGCAGAACCTTTGCACGCACGGATATGGACTGACATGGCGAAAACTTGATTTCGTTGTAGTTCTTGAAAAGGATTTTTTAAAAACGAAATATCTCCCTTTGAAGTGGACTTTAAGATTTGTAACTTTGTAGATCTTTTTTTATGCCCAAACATACACACACTACACACTGACTAAAATTAAAAAAGTGAAAAAGCATAATAGGACCCCTTTAAAAAGTCCATTAGTATGACTGTTAGTAGACATGAATGTTGATTATTTTGGTCAGAAGTGGCTGTATTGTCTTTCTGTTGGTAGTTTCCTTTTGTGTATGATCATGGACATAATTTGTTTAGTTGCCGCATACTTCCCCCAAACATTCAAAAACCTTGTGCGCTTGTTATCTCTGTCATTATCACTGTATTTAGACCAGAACGTTCAAGGGCCATCAATGATGACACTGAAAGAAAAACATTTTGAGTGTTTGAAGAGGACCAGAGGGCAAAGCATTGACGCACGTTCTAATGAAAAAAAAAAACATTCTTTGGGATGACACTCCCTCAACAACCCTCCGAAGGTTCCCATGGCAATGGTCACCGTGGGCGACACCAATAGCATTCCACTTTCTGAGACCCGGTGGTCATTGTTTGATGGACTGACCTGTGATTGGTTGATCTAGTTCTTAGAGGGGTAACTGCAGAGCTGTTGACAATGGGTCAGTGACATCATGTTAATTATGCCAGTAGAAATACCAGCAGTCTGATGCCAGCTTTCAGAGTCCAGCAATCACATACCCATAAAAGGGCAGTCGTCTCAGCAGACCCAGTGCATCACTGTCCAACACACATTCAAAAACTTATTGCCATGATTCCAACCTTTACGTAGCCGTTTCCCACAGTCAATGAGTTTGGTAACAGATCTAATGGTGTAGATTTGTCACATTATCATTAGGCCAGGGAAGAGAGAAGAGGAAGTATGAGGAAAGGAAATCTCAATGCAAATTCACTAGAACTTTATGGATATTACAGTGTAATCAACACCAGATATGTTGTAAACAGTCCAGACATCAATAAGTGCATTGTGACAGTTATTCTTATCAGGTGTAATCTAATCTTTGTTCTTTCTAGTGAAGAATTGAGTCACAGGGATAGAAAAAAACTCAAATTGTGGCTAGGAGCTCATTCTTATTTCATAAGAAGCAGTAAATCAATGTCTTTGATGTCTATCCAAGTCTGTAACTGCTACTAATTTAGCTCAGACTGACAACCAGAAAAGCATCTCGATCTGCAGTTATATTATCCCAGTAAAAATGATTGCTCTTAAGTCTGTTCTTCTCTTTTTCCCCATCCCAGTAAAATAATGAGACTACTATTTCATTGCATGTTGTTTTGTGCATTGTCCTCCTATCTCAATATACCACAATTAATTTAATAGAATTTTTAGTTAAACTGTTGACCTAAGTTATTTTGGGTCATTGATGTTTTCCTTTTAATCTAATAACCCTAAATAACTTGAATCAGTATATACAGTTAATAATATGTTACTCATGTGTCTCTTGTTTTTTTTCTACAGTGCCTCAAGCACAGACCTATCAGGATTTGAGTCAGGATTCCTTAGGAAGAGCCCAGATCAGTACAGTTCCCGGGGCAGCATGGAGAGCCTAGACCACACTCACCCAGCCTACAGCTCCTGCTATCAACTATCATCATCCAAATCCTCCAGCAGCATTGATCATCTGCACAGCAAGCGGGATTCTGCATACAGTTCCTTCTCGACCAGCTCCAGTATCCCAGAGTACCTTGCGGCGGCACCATCGTTTAACAAAGAGAGGTCATATTCCATGGAGAACGTTCCACAGAGAGAAGGGGTGCAGCAAGCTGATATACGCTACATACGCACTGTGTATGACCCCCAACAGGGTGTGTCTGAAGAGCATGAGATCAGCTCTGCAGCCATTATGAGATCCAGTGACAGCAGAGCACAGTCTAGAAGTGGGAATGTCTCAGGCCAGATCTGTCACCGTGGCAGCAGTAGTAGTGGAAGCAGTGGGAGTAGTGGAAGCACCTCCAGCTCACAACGCCACAGTGTTGGGCCAGTCTGGAATCCAGCACACAACCGGCATTCCTATGAGAACCTAAAGGGGGTGCCAGCACCTCCATTACGCAGTGACAGCTATGCAGCATTTCGCAATCATGAGCGTCCCAACTCTTGGTCGAGTCTTGAACATGCTCGGTCACAGCGGGCACTTCACAAGGGTTCCTGGCATCACTCAAGTGGTTCTGTGGCAACAGGAAAGTCCTCGTTTGGGGCTGAAGGTCAGTTGCACACAGTCATAGAAAAGAGCCCCGAAAGTAGCCCCACTACCAAACCCAAACAGGGTTTTCCTCAGGCCGCACAACCCGGTCAGCTCATGTTACCCACTGGCATCTACCCTGTTCCACCTCCTGAGCCTCATTTTGCACAAATTCCAACCAGCAACCCTAGCTCTGATAGTGTCTACCCAGCACTGGCCAAGGAGAGCAAGCACAACCATCACTGTGACCACTTAGGTGGACCAGTGAAAGAGGACAGGGTGACCATTGAAAATGGATACCAAAGCAATGCTCCTAGCTCAAATCCTGTCCAAACCCATGTTTCGCCACAACCAAAGCTCTCCGATAGAGTGCAAGATGACACTCAAGTCAAACCTGGTTTTTATCGGCCTCAATTGCAACCACAAATGCAGAAGTCACAAACACCATATGTACCTCAGGAGAGGAGGGACCCTTACACCCCGGTGCAACCAAGAGGAGAGAGACCAAGGTTCTCACTTGGTATGGAGGATTACGACAAGTACAGGCCACCTCAAGATGAAGAACTAAATAAATGCAACGAGCAAAGCATCCATCCAGACCCAGGATACACTGGGAAAATTTCACAGGGACAAGTTGCTCAAACATACAGAGGAAACTTCATTCAAACTCAAGGAAGTGACCACATAGTCAAACCTTCAAGGTACTACAGTGACTCTAGTGCTCTCCAGCAGAAAGCGCAAGACCTGGATCATCCCCTAACCAGACTGGAGAATGCACTTGCTGAGGTTCAACGATGTGCCAGTCCCGAGAGTACAACTAGTTTCCAAAGTGAGCGTAGCATGTCCGTGCTGGAGAAAGTAAGTCATTTTGAGAGACAGCAAGGCAAACCTCGCAGTCAGTGCAGCCTCTCCCACCATGGTTCTACGGCTCGTCCGAGCCAAATGCCAAGACCTTCCAGTGCCAAGAGCTCCTTCTCTGGTGTAGAGGATGTGCGCAACATGTTGGAGAGCAGCAACAGCTCGGTCCCTCATGGGAGAACTCAAAGTGCTTCTAGCATGGCAAGTTATGATGGACACATGGATGTGCATCAGGATTTCCTAACAAGACGTGGAAGTAGTGATCATGTCCAACATCGCCAGCAACAAGAGCCTGTCGTTACCCACAAGACCTGTCTTCAAAGAAGTAAGAGCACCTTTCAGCTTGGTGAGGGGAATGGAAAAGACATCCATGGGAAAGGTGACATTCATGACATCTTGGGCACCATCCAAGACACATCTTTTAACAGAGCATATAGAGACAGCATTAAAGATGCCCAGTCTAAAGTTCTGAGGTCAACTTCCTTCAGAAGACGTGACCTTAGTGTTAACCCTCCACCAGTGCCAGCTAAACACATGTCTCTAGAACGAAAAGGAACCAGTACAAGTCCCACACCAGCTACAACATCCCCACACACTCCAAAGGAACGCCATGTTGTTCCTGTTGAAGCACCAAGCAGAGCCCCTCCTCCTGAGCTCCCCAGTGTCCCAGCTGTTGGACCCCCAGTTATGCGGATCTGTGGACGCAAACGATTCACAATGGTGCAAAAGAAACGATCGTATTCTGAGCCTGAAAACATGCATGAAGTTGGAGTGTTGACTCAGGAAACCAATCAGGCTGACAGGAAGGTTCAACAGCAGTTTCTGTCTAGTGAGATGAGTGTTGCGGACAGACGCAGGATGTTCGAGCAGGTGGCGAATCGTAACGCTGACCCTAGATTTTTCTCCTACAGGCCTGATTTGAAGCAAATGCAACAAGATGCACTTGTTGAGTATATGGAGCGCAAAACAGGTAGAAGAGTAGACGGACATTCAAATCGCCCACATAGCGCTTATCTACAGTCTGCTTCTTCCTCTTCTGCTGACTTGCGAAACCTAATCTCCACCCTAAGTATGTGCTCTTTGCAAGAGCCAGCATACGATGGCCTCACTGGTGGTATACGTAAAGCCTCCACCCTTCCAGTAGGAATGCAAAGCCCCTTTTACCCCCCTAGGGGCAGCCCAAACCACACACAGCCTGAGGTTTTTGGCCAGCAGTCACAAGGCACAAATCCTGAATCGCACAAATCAGGCCCAGTCCTGACCAGACATAACCTTCCACAGCACTTGAAAGCCGCTTTTGAGAGAGCCACCTCTGCCAGAAGCTCAGGGAGGTCAGCTTCAGCTGAGGATTTGCTGGACCGTAGTGAAGAACGTCCCGTTCCTCAGCACTTCCGCTCCAAGTCATCTCCAGTGGAGAACTTTAGTCAGGTAACAATCATTTATTAGGTGGCAAACAAGCTGGGTGAATTTGACTGTCATTGGTTAGATCATTGAAGTGACGTGACTTCATACCACACAAAGTTAAACAGTAATGTTCATGGCAGAGTAAATTTGCTTATTTTAACCCTCTTATTGAATAGTTTAAACCAATTACTCACTCTGAGTTTCCCTAACTAGAAAGCTAATGAAAAACTCTCAGAACTGAAGAGAATCCGTTCTTCTCAGAATAAGCGGCATTCCCACACCCGGTCACAAGCAAACTATACAAATTTTTCTTCCTAGTTTGTAAAAATGAAAATGGTCATCATTTGCTCATCCTCATGTCATTCCAAACTTGTGTGACTTATTATTTTTTCTGTGGAACACAAATGAGGATACATTGAAGAATGTTGTCCATACAATAAGAGTCAATGGGGTCCAAATGGACCTTGTTTTTGGCGCCATCGACTTAAGCTCATTGTATGGACAAAAACAGTTTGAAACATTCTTCAAAATGTCTGTTTTTATATTCCACAGACGAAATAAAGTCTTTGGAATGACAAGAGGGTGAGTAATTTATAGCATTTTAATTTTGGGTGAACAGTCAAGCTGGTGTTCAGTGATAATCAGTGCATAAGTATTCAGCCAATTATGGTACTTTACGCTATAGGGCAAAGGAGCAGTCCCTTTCCTAGACGGGGGCAGATAATCATTTTTGTACCCACTCCTGGTGCTCCACAGGAAGAGGCCAGTGCTCCTCACTTCCTGTTTGGTGCCACAGAGCCTGGGCTTTAGTCAGAGATCTGACAGATGTGCAACAGATAACTGCACTCCTTCTGTGCCAGAGAGGAGGAGTTGGAGATAATGGACGACCCGTCATGGTTTGAAATATTTGGAATGGTTAAGAAGGCCATTTATCTAGGAGAATAATTATCCTTTATGTAAACGATAATGGTTCTGGTATGGTGATGACCATGTACAGTAGACGCGCAATTATCCTGTGAAATCCCAGACTAATCCAGCAATCCAAAATTAGAAATGGTTCAAGCGGTAGATAAAATATAAAATAAAATAGATAAAATGGCTTTACATAAACTTAAACATTCTGGCCATGAAAAAAATGATCTAAACCAAGCACACCACCATTAAGGTCACAGTCATACTAATTGAATACGACATAGTTCAGCTATGAGGATGTTGTCATGCTGTGCCTCTTTTTTATTAACAGATCTTAGTTTATCAGTAGTCATGGCATGCGCTTGAGTTTAAAATTAACATCAAAATACCAACATTCTCTAAACTTGAGGTAACCATGAAATAATGATTAACTTCCTGTTCCTGGTATATGAAACTTTACTACTTTTTTGTTGCCACTTCTACCAGAAAGTGCTACAATATGTCACCTGCTCAAATTAAATATTATTGGTTCTTTTGTTCTCTTTTTGTCTAGGACTTCTTGGTCAGAGACCTTCAGCTGTTGAGAGTTTCCTCCAAGGAATCCTCTGAAAACAGGTTGTGTATACATTAAGAAACATTCACTTCCATTGTCTTACAAATAAATCCTTTTGAGTCCTATATACAACATGTGTAGATATGTTCGCACAGAATTCACATACTAAAACAATTATATATCTAAATATTTTATCATTGCATGATCTATAAATGAAGTTCTTAGCAATGCATATTACTAATCAAAAATAAATTTTTTATATATTTAGAGTAGGAAATTGACAAAATATCTTCATGGAACATGATCTTTACTTAATATCCTAATGATTTTTGGCATAAAAGAAAAATCAATAATTTTGACCCATACAATGTATTTTTGGCTATGGCTACAAATATACCCCCAGCGACTTAAGGCTGGTTTTGTGGTCCAGGGTCACATATTTGTATTCTATAGACCAATTTAGAGGTTTTGTACCGTATCCGTGAAATTCTCTAGCTGTAAAGGCTATCTCTCCCGGGTTTTCTGCAACCATGATGCGCGCGCATCCTGAATGTTTACAAACCGGTAATTGGTCTATAGGCTTCAATTTAAGACAAATTAGCATTAGTAACATTTTTTAAGAAGAATTGTGCAGATCAGTCCTTTAAAGAGCAAGAATTTCTTTGCAAGTTCAAAACTATTTGAAACCGAGTTTTATGGAAATATTTACCCATAAAAGGTCTTAAATTAAGGACCAACCCTTAATTGGTCAGTGGCAGTGACAGTCCCGCTGCAGCTATTTTTGAGTTTGTTTTGAGCCATGCACGAATTCCCACCAGACATTGAAGAATAAATGATTTGCGTTTCATTTACTTTAAAAATGACGGGTATTGGAAACCTGACAAGCACAACATAATCATGGTACTTTCTCATTTCATATGCATGTTTTAATAGGGTGTTGGCGAACACAGGACAGAAACAGCCATCATGTTCAGCACGTACGGAGAGGAGTTACCAGCTAAACCTGGGTCTTGTCCAGCAAGACGCACCTGTGTTGAGGCGCGAGCGTCAGAGACATTCAGACCGGCCGAGAGCGCAGAGTGCTTCTGGTCTGGCTGCGTCTGTGGGACTCCCTTGCCCTTTCACCTCTCCAGGCACTGCCGCCAGCCTTGACTGGCATAACGGAGACAGACTGTGTCAGCCCAACCTGGATTCTATTGCATTTCCCGAAACTGGTCCACAAAGTCCGTCCGGAGCACCGGGAATGGTGCGGCAAAACTCCAGCGACACCAGCACTTCTGAAGACACTCTGAAGGACTTCCCGTGTCCGGTGGCCACTCAGTCACCTCCACACCCAGAGGTCACGGGCCCACAACTTGATTCAAGGCTGCAAATCCTTCCCAAGAGCCTGGTTTCCCCAACAAAGCCTCTTCTTTCTCTTCGGATCTCAGAATCTAACCTTCAAGATGTTCAGAGTATAGCTGTGTCGCAAGATGATGATGAAGTGTTTTTAGCACCTCCGCCACCATCTCCTCCTCCACCACCACCGGCACCACTGCCCATCAGAGAGACGGAGATTATACGGGACTTCCCGCCTCCTCCACCTCTCACACCCCCAGTCGAGGAGAACGTGGAAGTGTCTTTACTGCATCCGGGACCATTACGGCCCATCAGGTAGAGCCACTTCTTGTTGGTCTTGAAACAAGATTTCTATCCACCAATCAGATTTGAGGGATTAAAGCCCGGGTTAAGGGCTTGAGCAAGATGATTTTATGTCGTATCCCTCATGATTTTTTAATGTAGGTTAGGGTTTGGCTTATGATTTCTTTGATAGGAATGTTGTTCCAAGAACAACAAACGAGCATATCAGTCACATTCATCATGCTAAAATATTACAGTACAGTCACATTTAAAGGAATGTTCTGGGTTCAATACAAGTTAAACTCAGTCGGCAGCATTTGTGACAATGTTGAATACCACAAAAAACATCTGCAATTCGTCCGCTGTTTTCTTTCTTTAAAAAAAGCAAAAATCAAGGCTCTGGTGAGGCAACCCATATGACAAAAAATAAATATACGCAGGTGTATTTTTAATGTAATGCAAAATACAAAAATAAAAATGCTAACATAAATGTAAAATATATTTACACTAATTAATATAGATTTTTGCTAAGTATTATTTTCTTACTTATTTTTGGCCATGTTTAATATATTTTCAGTCTAAATATATTTATATTGTATAAACATATTTATTTATAAAAAATAAAAAAAAACATTTAGCATTTACCCAAAAAAGTATTTTAAATTTGAAAATGTATTTTCCTGACTCTTGAAGTACATTTTTAAATATTTTGGCATTTAAAGGTTTAAACTAAATATTTTTCTCATTTGAAAAATATATATTCTTTAAGCTGTGCTGCTTACAACATAAAAGTTAATTTGCAAAAACCGATAACTCCATTTTTATTGATTTTTTTTCAGAAATCACGTTTTTTTTTATTGCGCATTCCAAGTAATATCAATCAAACTGCAGTTGGGTTGTTTTGATTAAGTAATAATAACTTAAACAAATACAGGTAATTTACGAAATTAAAGTTCATTGAAAGTATGTTTTTTTTTACATATTAAAAGTTTGTTTTATAGCAAAAGCAGATAACTCCAACAGTCGTTTTTTTGGCAAAAGCAGATTTCATGTTTTAGAGTTTAAAAAAACACTTGTTTAATCTTTATAATCTCCTCAGATGACAATGTAGATGCCTGACAAACGTTGTTGTTGTTGTTGTGATCATAAACTATGGATGTGATTATACACGCAATACAGAGCTTTTCCCTCACCATTGTAACGTGCTGCTTTTGCAAGGTTCTGTGAAAACGTTTCAGCTTTTATTTTCCTTTTTCGCCCTGAAGAAGATATCACAGGTTCATCAAGTTCATCGAAATTATCCA